TCGAAATACGGGATTTGCTCCTTTGAATGTGTTCGACAATGATAATTAAATCCCTCTGCGACTAGGAGGGCATATTAAACAAGTATCGATTAGAGTCGACAACGAACAAACGAATTTTTTGAACGAAAGATATTTATTAAAATGAATATTGAATAATGTATGTGATAATGTGAATATTAACTGTGAATGTTAACTTACTAGTTTCTGTACAATTGGATCATTTTGTGATAATGTATAAATAGTTTCTTTTTTTTTGAAAAGTTTCATATTAAATTTCGCGCGAAATTTTTCATTTAAACGGAAATTTGAAATATTCAGTTTTACTGGCAAAAAAATTTCAAACGAAGTGAAAAGTGAAAAATAAAAAAGTTACTCTCTCGTGCTTCTGTTTATATATATATATCCTTCAAATAAAGAAAAATTATTTTGATATTTTTAAAATCAATTTTATCGAATTTCGTGAAAAAAAGAAAATATTTTATTTATACATACAGATAGAATTAACAATGGGCATAAAAATACGATACAGATACAGATTACGACAAATTTAAAATAATCTCACGGTGTCGTGTCGTGAAAATTACACAACGATTCTCATGAAAGTTGTCTGGAGAGTCGAGTTCTAATAATCTCGAAAGAGCCGGGAAGAAAAAGAAACAAGAGCTTGTTCAACTTTGCCGAATACAAAAACTCAGAAGCGTGAAAGCACATCGCCTCGAACTCGTCGTTGTCACGGCAACAACGGAAACGTATGAAAAAGTCATCGACCGATTTTGCACTTTTCGCAAAAATAAACGACGATATGGCCCGATTCACCGATTAGAAACACTCAGAGCCAGAGGTAGAATGGATTTTTCTATCGTTGGCGAGAAGAGCAATCCAATCAACGGGGACAAAGAGCGCGAAAGTGAAAGGGTGGAGGCGGAAAATGGTGCTTTTAATGTGCTCCTCTGCGTCGAGAGTTCTCACAAACGCTTCGATCGAACTGTTATCCGATACAACGAGCGTTGTTGCGCAACTGCTCGCTCGCGAAATGAAAAAAAGGAAAAAAAGAAAAAAATGTTTTCTTACTCTAAGGAAAACAAAAATCATAAAATCTTCCCTGAAAATATATTATGAAAAATATATATATATTTGAAAAGTTGGAGAGAAACGTGTATATGCTTCCCATGCTCGAGGCGCGAAATAAAACGAAGGGGAACGATATGAAAACAAGGTATTTCCAAGTATTTCTCTAGCCCCAAGGATCGTTATTGTTATTGTAAGCAAGAAAAATATTTTGAGAAGAATAAGCGGATGAATAAGATTTTGATTGAATTTCTATTCGGTATTTAAATATTTATTTTCAATCGTTTGCCTTTAACGTGTATTATAATCGGCTAAAATTGCTTTGAAAATAAATAAATGCTTTCAACGCTTGCACGGATCGTTAAAAGCGAGGAATCTCTGATCTTTGAAACGTTTCCCGAAAGATCGAATATATGGTTACTCGCGAGATATTGCCGTTGAGAAGAAAAGAAAGAAATCATAAATTGTATACTCTCTTCCAAGTCTTGGAAATAAAATAAACGTAAAATAACTTTAACGTCTGTACCATTTATATAATCAATCAATTGAACAATGAAACGTTTCAGATCTCAGGCAGCGCGAATAGCGAGAATATACGGTCGTTTGCCGTAATGAAGAAATGTGTCCAAATGAAAAGTGATCTTGTTTGTCGGATCAAGAAGGCAAATAAAATTCTTCGTCGAGCGAAATGAGACCTCGTTCCAGGCCCGCTCTAACTTGTATTAATTTAATTGACGTGTCTTGAGGTCGACCTCCTTTCAACGACCATCCAAATCATCCCTACCAGATGTATTAAGAATGCGGCTCGCGTGATTGTAATTTCGCCTCCACGAAAACGAATTATTAATTTTCCCCATTTTTTTTTTCTTCGAGCTTTAAATAAATCGTATCAACGTGGATCGACGGAATATTCAATATCATTCTCGATGCTTTTTTCCCTGAACATTGATGAATCATTCTCGCGTCGAGACGATTATTATTATTATTACAAAATTATTCCACGAATAATTTTACGCTATTCGTGGCAAATTATTTTACGACGCGTGACGCACGCATTTGGGATTCGAAGGAAGAATAACATCTCTCTGTGAAAAACAATCCTTCACAAATATTTTTAATCGGCTTCGCAACACTTTCGTACACATACACACACACACACACACACACATACGCGCGCGAGAAGTACATGTGCTACGAGCAATTCAGTTTCTTTGCCCTCGTCGACCCGTATCTGTCCTCCCACACACACACACACACACATACACATACACACATATAGAACAGAAGATCGTTGCTAATTAAGAATTCGCGAATTCAGTCACGAAACGACGACGTACGATAAAGACATTGTGGATTCAAAGGAGAAAATGATGTCAGTCTGGAAGGTAATTACGCGCTATAGCGGTCAGTTGCTTAAGGCCATGGACTATGGCCTCCCCGGGTATGGAGAATTCTATTTACGAGTGAATACAGCGTGAAGCATAAAATATATTATACAACCACAAGAAATATTATTATTACTTTATCTCTCAAAAATTATTATCTCTTTTCTAAAAATAATTATAATAAAAATCCTTGTTTCGAAGAGGAGGCTTTTTCTCAACATCGTCATTCCGAACATCAGAGATGAGAATTTCAGAGATCTTTAAAAGAGAAGAGATTTGAAAGGAGAAAAGTATAATCTGATCAAAAAGAAACAATATTGCCACGTTCGAAATTATTGCCATCTTTGTAAACAGGAACGTGACAAAAATCATCATCTTAACTCGATTCAAATTCCTCCAGAATTCGAAAATTTTACAACTCTGACATTATATTCCAGCCTGAATATAAACGAGGCAATAAATTTACATAAAAATTCGTCCCATCGAATGTGAGGCGATAAACAAATTCTTTGATTAACGCGCCCTCTTAACTCGAATAGTCGTTCCTTCTAACCTTACATTTCGAACAATGTAGGAAAAAAAAGTTCAATCCTCTTTTATTTATTCCTTTTCTTAAAATCTCGTCAATATTTGCTCGTGATAAATGCATTTTATAATAATTTATATAACAAATCTATAGACCCCAAGCTATAGACTTTAGATAAGAAATATTTAAATGAAGAAATATTTTCGAAACAAAAGAACAAAGGAATACACTGTGGGTTTGGAGTATAGATATATAATCGTTATCCAAATGTAATCTAAATTAAATGAAGGAAAGGGAAGGAGAGAGACGGGGTCTATATAAGCTGTTCCCAGTTTTAATGAAGAAACTTTAAATTTATGCAAGAATACCTGGAATGAGGAAAAGTTGATGCATATGGTTAATGGAATGGAATACGTATATAACGGTCGTACGTATATATAAAGCACACTGAAATAATACGTGCAACGTATTTCCCTTCTCTATATCACTTATCAAATTTTCCCTCCCTTATTTCACACCATCGTCATTCGTACAAATATGTCTTCGTACTGTAATTTTCACATCGAGATATTTAATCAAACTGTACTTTATTTAACAATACTATTATACAGCTTCACCGAATAAAAATTTATATTATTCGATCTTTTTCCAATCTTTCTTCTGTACGAATCGTTTGCACGAGCAATTAATGGAATAATTTCGAGCATTCGTAATTTCTATCTAGAAATCTAATCTCCGATACATCAACATTCCTCAGCTTCAAACCCCGAATACCCGACCGATTTTATCAACCGCCGGTACGCTGCGAACGATGCAAAGTCGAAATCGCGTGGAAACTCATTACACGATCGTCTACAGGAGCTTCCATAAAACGTTTCCAACTCGTCCTCCAACTTCCGCCCCGGTGGATTAAAGCACGGGGCGTGTGGCGAACGAGGTCACACATCCATGCGTTTATCCATCTTCAGGAGGGACAATGGATCGCCGAAGGTGTGTCGGGCAAAAACTCAGCGTATTCGTCTGATCCTCCACGTCGAATTACGAACACAGCGACGAGTCGAAACGTTGGAAATTTTCCACCGGACTCGAGGCCAGTGTAAAAGTTACGCTCGGCTTTTAACTTTCTATTACCGTCCTTTTCTCTCTCTTTCTCTCTTTTTTTTCTTTTTTTTTTTCCCCCCCTTGTATCATTTCCGCGACAACCGCAATGAAAATTTGCATCGCTTTTCTGCTCCGCTTGATTTTATTTTCACGATGGACAGTTCGGACACGTGGGAATTTTAAATGCGAGGATAAATTTTTGCTTTTTCGTTGGGAAAATATTGTGTTACTCTCCTCTTGCGAATGAAATCCATTTTTATTATTAACGTAGATTATCAACAATAGAGAATTTTATTATTATATTATTAACTTAATTTTATTATTATATTGTTATATTGTTATATTATATTATATTATTAACAATAGAGGATGTTTCTGAAACTTGATGCTCTTTTAAATATATCTATTTTTTTTGTTCTTTTTTTTTTTTTTTGTATCTATTAAACTTTTTTGCGAGCAATGGAGAATCGATCGTTCATTTTCGTCGAAAAAAATAATACAAAGCTATCCGCGCGAGAAACCGCGTTCGAGAAGCATTCATCTTCGTTACGATTGATTGGACATCGACAAGGACGATATTGAAAGGCAGCGTAATTAAAAATAGATATTAAACGATCGATAAAAACTTTACAATAATATTTCAACGCGAATAATTTATTTTACTTGGAAAGAAAGGAACGCATGCAATTAAAAAAATACAACAAAAATTTTTATCCATAAAAAAATTATGATACACGCGTTGATCGAAAAACATATTGGCCAAAAAATCCTTCGATGAAAAAAGAATTGAAAAAAAAAAACGTTATTGAAAAAACCTTAGATGAATCGAGAAACGTGTCTAATCACTCGGGCAAATAGTAAAAAACGAGTAACGAGTCATTAACGGACGAGCGTAAATCGAATTTTAATTTTCGTTGCAGATTCCACGGGGAGATCTAACGAACGGTGAGATGACTCGAAGAAGAAGAGTGCCACTCGTGTTGAGAGTATGCACAGGTAAGCACACACGTTGCAAACCCATATACCTATTGATCGATTTGCATAATCCATTAACCGGTAAACGCGTAATGCGTATAATTCACGGAACAGCTTAAAAGATCGAGGTGAATTTTAACTTGTTCGAACAAGGTTACGTTAACCATATTTCTTCTTCCTCTCCTTAAAAACCTTTTCTTCGATACAACTGGTAAATAATCGTTCAGATTACTGTTACGAATTATTATTTTTATCAAATCGATCGTAATCAAGCTCTCATATATATATATATATATATATATATCTCACAACGAGGAAAATAAATGGTTACAAAGGGAAGGATTTGATCGTAACTTTCACAGAGAGCGCGTAACTATGGTATGATGGTATTACATTCGAGTGCAATCGCGTTGCATCGTGTTGCAAAGGTTGGTCATCATCGAGGGGGAGCCATGCCATGCCGGCCATCATCGAGTACTGTTAGGATCGGCATGCCGAGCTGAAACCGTAACACTTGCCTTGACAATACGAATTTACCGTTGCGTTCGATCCAACTTTCCTCTTGGTGTAGCTGCACGCATTCGGGCTGACTTTTTACTTTCGCGAATTTATTATGGACGCGAGAGCAGTGTGACGACACTTTGTTTAGAATGGTTCGTAAAAATGGATATTAAATTGATCGCGAAGAGGAAATTACGCTTTTGCTTTTCTAGATACTAAAATGACCCGATTACTAATTTAAAAGAGTTTTAATAATTATTTTTTTCTTTTCTTTTTTTTAAATTAGTTGAAGCGTGTTAGAGGATATTGATGTTGGTTTTTTGGACTCGACGGAAAAAGACACTTTCGGATAGAATTTTCTAGATATTAGAATTACCCGATTAAACGAGTTTTAATAATTATTTTTTTCTTTTTCTTTTTTAAATTAATTGAAACATATTAAAAGACATTAATGTTGGTTTTTTGGACTCGACGGAAAAAGATCTTTTTGGATAGAATTTTCTTCTCATATTAGAATTACCCGATTAAACGAGTTTTAATAATTATTTTTTTCTTTTTTTTTTTTAAATTAATTGAAACATATTAAAAGACATTGATGTTGGTTTTTTGGACTCAACGAAAAAAGACATTTTTGGATAGAATTTTCTAGATATTAGAATTACCCGATTAAACGAGTTTTAATAATTGTTTTTTTCTTTTTTTTTTTAAATTAGCTAAAGCGTGTTAGAGGACATTGATGTTGGTTTTTTGGACTGGACGAAAAAAGACGTTTTCGGATAGAATTTTTGTATCGTTTTGAAAGGAATGGGGTAAATCTAGGATAGAATGGAAGAAAGGAAAGATCGATTCAGTGGTCGCGTATGAATTATCGGCGTTAAAGAAAAGGAAAGAAAAAAAATAGTGATACCGAAATTGAAAGTCCTTTGTGCTCATTCATTGTACACAAATTGAAATCGAAAGTTTCCTTTTAAGTTGGCCTTTCCAACCGAATTCGTGTTATTATATTACCGGATGATCCGTTCCGATCTGATGACTTCACGAAGAATTAACAAACCGAGGATCGAATCGATTAAAGAATTAGAAAGCGGAATTCTTTCTTGAACGCACGGTACACACAATTGGTTCAATTCTCGCGTTAATAAAACCTTTCAACCGTTCTAAATTATGCTCGTTAGGACGGTGTAAAATTTTTAATTCGCATACCAGAAACGATATAATTCAATCGCGTAACATAATTACAGAGATCTCGTGTACCCGTTAAAAATATGATAATTCGCGTAGGCGTAACACACGTCTTTCCACAGTTTCCAATTTTCTCGATATATTTTATTTTCGTTTCATTTACGAATAAATTTCGAGATTTTATTTTACTTCAAAAATTTTCTCGACAAAAAAAAAAGAATCATTTAAACACAATTTCCAACTTTCGCGTAAACATCTCTTCCCAAGAAAGACGAAAAAATATATATATATATATATATTTCTTAAATAATTCCACTCACGGACTAGAACGAGTTTCCGTACGTTTCATTTCCAAGAATCATCCCACCCGAATCCTTCCTATTCAATTTGTATCGCGTATGTTGGAAGCAAAATTTACCGAAAAGCGACGCTCGAGGGCGCCATTGATCACGCGCGCGACACGGTTGAGCCGAGAGCATAACCTAACTTTGTAGAGGGAGAGGTAGAAGCGCACATTTTCGCGTAACCTGTCCGCATCGGTGGGGATCGGGCACGCATACTTAAAATCCACCGCATAATCCACCGCGGTCTGTTTAACATTCGGAGAAGCACGGGGCGAGGCGCACTCGCCGCGCGTTGCATACGCATTTTTTTTTTTTCTTTCTTTCTTTTTTTTTGCATCCGTCGCAACGCGGTACGCGTCGAGGTACTGCAACTGCGACACGACGGAATCCATAAATCGGTTCTCGATTCCTGGCTGAGTAATTCCCGACCAACCGGTTTCTAGACCCATTAAAAGGATCGACCACGGCACGCCGACGTTTTTATTTCATCCCGGCTGTGAGAAACCAGTCACCGTTGTCAATATATCCGGTCGGGTGTTCGCACGTGGCCCCTCGTATCGCGATTCTCGGCCACACTGTTCACGGTTTAACGATCGAACAATCAGCGACTCGTCACGGGTTTTCCGAATAATGTAGCGGTTTGCGTTGTCGAGAAGGGTTAGGCGTTCATTCAGAGATTTATGAAACGATCGAAACGGGACTCGACTTGTTGCTTGTTATTCGTGGAAATTCTTTTTTTTTTTTTCTTTTTTTTTTTTTCAATTCATCTCGAAACGAATACAATAAGGAGAGGGAGGAGTCAATAAATCGTTATTGAAAATAATATAAATAAACGTAAATATATATAAGATGAGATATTTGTAAAGACGTTCGTAAAATTGTCAACGAGAAAGTATATAATGCGTGCTTTTCTTGAAATAACGTTCGAATTTATCTCGCGAAAATTATTTAATAGAGGGACAAGAGGGTTTTGTTCAGAAATACCGACGCTTATCAATCGTTGGAAAATATATTGGAAAATATACGTGAAAATGTTTACGTACGCGCATAAAATCCTTATCCTCCCCTCCCAGTCTCGTTCGATTCGTTATCGTTTTATTCTAATTCCTCTTTATCCCGTTTAATCCGGATACGGTAACCTATAAACGCGAATGTAATTACAGTTGTACGCGCAGCATGCAAATGCATTACATGATTTTTCATTTACGCAATCCTGTTCGATAAGGCGAATATGGAATATTGAAAAAAATGGAATACCAGCAGAAGAAAATATTCTGATATCGCATCTATCGAAGATAAGAAAAAGATGGCAACTTAAAAGATATTTCGAATCGCCTCCACTTATTTCCGCCCATTTTTCTTTCCTCTTTGTTTAAAAATATTTCCCAAATATTATATATCATTTCGCGTACGTTTCAGGTGTTCTCCTGCTGCTCTTCACCACGATCGCCGCAAACACGACGGAAGATCCCCCGACCAGCTCGGAGAAACTATCCACCGAGACTATCGATGATGCCACGATATCGGCGAGGAACGAAACGATCCCGAACAAAATAGGATCTAGGAACTCGGAATCGATTGGAAACGAGGCCGTTGATCCGTCCAACAACACCTCGAGCGGAAAAGAAACCGTACGAGACGAGGTCGGCAAAGATGCGGAGGCGGAGAGGGAGGAGAAAGTGGCGATACCAACGATCCACGAGGACGCGAAATTACTACAGGGAAGCGGGTCGGCCGCTGATTCGTCGGCCGGCCCTGGTTCCAAGCTCGAGGAGTCGATCTACGGGACGTCCGCTGGAAAGAGTTCCAGCACGAAGACGTTATCCGAGGACTTTTACAGATTGTCCAGAACGAACGGGTTGACCACGGTTACCGCGAAGCCCGCGTTGGAAGAGGGGAGGATGGAGGGAACGAGGGACGGGGAGAGAGGCGTTCAAGTGGAACGATCGAACGTGACCACGTCGTGGCAGGAGTCGAGCGGGATCCCCGGATCCTCGGTCGTCTACCGATTAGGAACCGATTTCCCGGAGGGGAAAGGAGACAGGGCGAAGGCGGAAGCGAAGAAGGAGAGGAGCGAGGACTCGAGCCCGCAAAAAGTTCGTTTCCTGGAGAAGAAGGAGGAGGAGAAGAGGGGGGGAGAGGAGGAGGAGGAGAGGAGGGAGAGGGAGGAATCGGCGGAGAAGAAAGCGAGCAAGAACTCGGAAGTGGCGGGGTTGAAGGGGGAGGAGGAGGAGGAGGAGGGCGGTCCCATCTCGTTGATCAACGACACGTACGTGAACTACAGCCGTAGTTACAAAACCTCGACGGGCGAGGCGACGGCCTCGAGAGACGGTTCCGAGAATGGGACCAACTTCATCACCGAGGGGAGCACCGTGGTGACTCATCACCCGAAGGAGGAGGTGGAGGTCGTCGGGAATGTGACTCAGCCCGCGATTCAGCGGATCGTCGAGCCGCGATCCCGAAACGCGACTTCGAAGGACGCCGGCCTTGGTAACGTCGAGTCGAGCGAAATCGGCTCGAGTCGGAACGAGGGCTATACGCGCCAAGATCCCGCCAAGGCTAACGAAACCAGCTCGATCGAGGTTCGAGAGACAAGCGAGAACAAGGTGCAACTTACCACCACCACTATCACTACCACTACCGCTACCAGCACCGAAAGAACGTTTCGCGAGGAATCTTCGACGATCGTGACGTCGAGCCCGGTTCCAAGAGGAAGAACCATAGCGTTCTCCGGGACGAACGAATTTGCGAGGTCCTCCGAGGTGAGGTCGACGGCCGCCTCGAGGCTCGACGTTTCGCACGCGAGGAGGAACGGGAGCGAGGACAAGGGGGCGAAGCCTTACCCCTACGCCAAGTCTACGGCCGCGAAAGAATCGGGTGCCGACTCGAGCAACCGGCTGGCCGAGATCGCGACGGAGGAGGGTTCCGCCATGGAGAACACGATCGGCAAAGGGCGGTCGGAGGAGAAGTTGATCGTGACGGAAGCGTCGGACGTGTTGGAGAACAGTATACAGCAGCGGTCGAAGCCGACCTACCGCGACGAAGGGAGCGGCAACGAGTCGTCCACCGCGTCGAGCGCGAGCCACGTTGCTCGTTCCTCGTCGACTCCGACGACCAGCACCGGCGCGTCCGTTCCGAGGGGGGGACCCGAGCTAGGGATCGACGATCGGATGATCCACAGAGGGCAGGAGGAGGAGGAGGAGGAGGAGGAGAGCTCGACGAGCGCGGGGAACGACGTTCCGAGGTGGAACGACGAGACACCCGTCTCCGGCGTGGATGTGACGGGAAACGGGATAACGGAAGTGAGCCCGAGGCCCGAACAGTCCCGACCGAGGGACGACGAACGGGCGTACGAGCTACCTTTCCGCGAGGCCACCGAGCCGAGCTTCCGCCCCTCCTCCGCCACCGACCTCCCCTCGATCGAAACCGTCGACTCTTCCGTCGAGCCTCTCGCCACGGAGAGGAGCGAGCGCGCCTCCTCGTCGCCGGCCCCCCCCGTCGCCGCCACCATCGAGCAAACTTTCGTGGCCAACGCGACCGAGGCCTCCCCTCCGCCCACCTCCGACACCAACGGAACCAACGAAATCCCTTCCTCCCTCGCCGACCCCGAGCAGAGCTTCGCGCCTACCACGACCGGCGTCGAGTACGAGTTCGTCAGCCTCTCCTTCGACTCCACCGAATATCCTCCCCGTCCTCGAAACGCCACCACCGACGAGGCCCCGACAGGAGAGGATGCAGCCGATCGAGCCTCCTCCGCGGTCCCCGATCCCCTTTCGCCAAGGAGAAACGATTCGAACGAGCCTCTTGCGACCACTCTCACCCCCCCGCCCGACGAGTCGGACGAGCCCTCGTCCTCGATCGGCGAGACCACTGATCGATCCACGATCGCCACCACGATCCTTCCACCGAATTCGGTGACTCGGTCGAGCCTCCTCGAGGAGGGGGGGGTCGGTTGGAGCGGGGCGGACGAAGCGGTGGCGAGAACGACGGACGGATTCGCGGTGGATTCTTGGAGCACCGGTGTCGGGGAGGAGGAGGGGGTCGCGACGGAGCGGACGATCCCGCTGGATTCGAAGGATACCGGCAACGCGACCGACCGACCCGTGCGGTTCACCCCTATGTCGAGCGTGAACGCGACGGATGGCACGGCGGCCACCCCGCCCGCCACTCCCTCCGAACACTCGATTCCGAGCACCGCCTCGACCCCGCCTGGCTCCCGTGGCGTCCCGCCGAGGGACGACGCGTTGTCCCCTCGCCAAGAAATCACGTGGTTGGTGCGCATCGTGATTGAGGGTGGCAGATACGACGTGTGTCCGAAGATGGACAAGTTGAAGGCGATTCTGGCCGAGATCCTGCAATCCGGGATAAACAAGTAAGTTGTGGTGGAATGGTAATAACTGTTCACCGGTGGAAACGAGTGTCTCCACTTTGGACGCTTTGTTTCTGTCGTCGTTATTGTAATGGAAGAGATGTGTACTCGAATGAGATCGATGCACGATGTGGCGAGTGTCGAAACAAAAACACGCGCGTGAAAATAGACGTTTTTCTTTCCACCGGTGAACAAGTACGTTTATTGTTTATATATGGTGTTTATATACTTAGGAGAGAATAATATATCGTTCTCTGATCGCAGATCGGTATCGGACGAGCAAATTATCCTCCATGAAAATCCGTGCCAGGAATCGTCGGATTCGACTCCGTCGTCCTCGTCGGCGGATATGACGTCGATACTAGTTTACGTGGTGGATAAAAAGGGAAAGTTCGACACGAATATGACCAAAATTTTGCCCAGCTTGTACGAGGAGTCGCGCGATCGAATCACGTTCCCGATTAAAGTAAGTCGAGTTTATGTTATAGTTAGTCGATCGAGTTTCGTTTGTAACCCTTCGACGAACAGTTTTCATTATGTTATTGTAAAGTCGAAAGTAACGCTACTCGATCTTGGTCTCTTTCCTTTCGTTCTACGTAATTCTTTTCGTTGAAGCGTTCTACGAAGAATTCTTAGTACTCTTCTCTCGTATATTTCTTCCTTTTCGCGTTTATTTTTTTTTTACGTATTTCTCTCTCACAAATTATGGTCCTTCCTCGAAGTATTCCCTTACGAGACTAATCGTTTTTAATTATTTAAAATTACGACATCTTCGTTCTTTTTTCCTTCGAAGAAAAATTTAAAGAATCTCGCGTGTTTTCATATTTATATAAATTTATAAAATAGTTTCGACTCGGCAATTTAATTTTTGCACTCGTAGAAACTCGTAGTTTGTGCACCTGCGTTTCATCGAATGAAAGATCGATGAAAATTTTGCTCGAGTAGATAATTAATCGATGTACACGATTACGATACAGTTAACCTATTCCGCCGACTGACCCACTCTTTTCAGATTCAGAGATTTCTTCTGGTACAGGAAACGATTCCGGATTCCGGAAACGCAGTGGCGGCCATCGTGGTCTCCTCAGTTGCCTTGATTTGCCTGGTTCTTTTGGCCGGTCTTCTGGTAAAAATTACTTTTATTTTTCTTTCGTTAAAAAATCAATAAAATCCATTCGGATTGTTCGAATATTTTCTGATATTCTATTATTGCGAAAGAGTCTTTTTGTGGAATACTATATTTGTTTTTTTTTTCTTTTTTTATAAAAATCGAAGTGAAAATTCTTTCCTTGGATATTCACACGGTTGTTTTAATTTTAACTATTTTAATTTTTATTAATTTAATCTTTGGAATGTAGAAAAGCAATAATAGAATAACATATTAAATATTTATACAAATTTCAAGTTTATAACTCTATATACTTGAATAATTTTATCAAAAATATATTTCATCTTATAAAGATTCATTTTTCGATCCATTTTTCGATAATTAATATCGCTTTTTTAAATTATTAAGCATTCTCATGATACGTACAATCTACCGTCATTTTAGGACGGATGAATATCTCGATTTATTTTTTTATATTTATTTTGAGAATTAAATTATTTTATTAACGCTTTTCGTTGCAAGAGCAATTTTTTAAATCTTACTTTAAAAAGAAGAGAAATCAATCCTTAAAGATTTCTTCGTTTTTTAAATTATAAACATGATAAATGCAAAAAGTAGAAAAAAGTCTTTAAATATATCAAATTATTATCCATTGGCTGCTCGCGAAAGATATTTCATCCAGATATATCATAAAAAACATAAAAAAAGTGGATTGATTTCGAAAGAAAAATTGCTTCCGTGTGTAAATAATTTTGCGATTAACTACATACAAATTGTCAAAATCAATTGCACGCATATGGGCTGGCACACATATTCTCACGAAAAAGAAAAAAAAAAAAAAAAAAAAGAAAAAACTATTCAAGAAAGAAACTAATGAAACGAGATTCAGTTGCGCAGGTCGGCAAAGATCTATACTATCTAAAAGGCCTCCGTCGTGCTTACGTTAAGCTCATTTCGCACGATGTTACGTATTCATCCGTCCACATTTGTGATTTATCCCCAGTGTACGTAAACAACTAATGATAAATACGTATGTGTACGTGTGATGGTGTTCGAATTTTGCACGTTTGCGCTTTTTCACGCAGTAGGAAAGCAACGCTTACTTAAAAAGAAAAGAGAGACCAAGCTTTGGAAAAATTCTTCGAAAAAAAAAAAAAAAAATATAATAAATATTGTTCGCGGTTGTTCGAACGAGAAGGAACAATCGTGCGCGTTGTCGCTCGTTGTTGTTTCGTTGCCACGACACTCGTCCTTGAATCGGCTATTAGATCAACCGTACACCGCTTCATTGGTTTTCTCCTCGTGCGCACCATGCACGCGTGTCCCGATGTCGAAACCGATCGTCGAGACGTGTCTCTCTCTCGCGATCTCTCGCTCTTTCCGATCCGTGGAACAAGCGTGAATCGAGCATGATCTTTTCGTTCGAGATTTCGTTATGAGATAACGAGTTACATCGTCTTGGCGATCGTAAGAAGAAAGATCGAAAAGAGTTTCCAAACGAGAGAATGATTTATTTATTATTTAACGGGGTGGAGATCCCTTTGTCAAAATTTCCACGAATCCTTTTCAAATTGTCATCCGCATCGTATCGTAATGCACGGGATATTCGCACGGGAGGGGACAATGGTCGGCGCGTGATGAATCAGACGAATATTTTAAAAGTAGTTGAAAAAAATATTTGTTGTCGAGAATATCAATTGGGTTTAGCAAGAAGAGAATTTTACGATTCTTTCTCTCTTTTGAAACAAAAAAGGAACGAAAGAAAATAAAATGTAATAAACGTTTAATTTTTATCGAGTATCAACACTCTTTATAACGATTTAATTCCATAGGGAAGTGAAAAAAAAGGGAGAATTCTTATTTTGCATTTTTCAAAATTATTAAAAAATGAAGAATCAACTGAAGATTTGTCTAATTTTGTATATTCTGAGCCCAAGGTATTATCCAATAGAATATCACAAAGATGATACGCATCCGCGTTCAGAAACTAATGCCAGTTATTTCTGGTTCGACGAAAGAATAGAGCTTGATTTTTCATCCGACGAGAAAAGAAAAATTGTAGGCGTAGACCGCGATAATACCTTTATTCGCGGATGCAAGAATTACAGGTTTGCCTGCGAGCGGATGTTCCGTGCATTACCTACGTAACCTACGTGTTTAAGATTAAAACGTTTCGTTTTGATTTTTGTACGAGAGGAAATTTTCTTTAACAAAAATCGTTCGAAACGGAAGATATTTACATACGCTTTTTCTTTTTTTTTTTCCACGAATGATTAATTTGCAAAGCGATAAAATATTTTTATTTAGCGATATATATTTTTATTATTGAGAGAGAGAGAGAGAGAGAGGGACGGCGGTGTAAAAATTGAAAAATGATTTGCAGTTCGTTATGAGGAAAAGGCAAACGAGGTTTAACTATGGCGAACGATGTCGACCAGTGTCTTTGGACGCTTACAGCCTTGACAGTGTTTCCGCGTACAACAGCGTCAGACGCAAAGGAGTGGCGAGGTCTTCGAAAAGAAGCTATGGGAATCCGACTTTCGAAGATTCGGTGAGTTTCGTTGTCTCCTCGATTTCGTAAGAATCGAAAATAAATATGTTAAATGATAGAATTATAATTGGTGAGCAATAACGAATAAAAATTTTCTTTAAAAGACATATTTTTTTTTGACGAGAAGATATGTAAATGAGTTAAACGAGTACAAAGATATATAAAGACGAATAAAATATTTATTTTTGTGAAAAAAAAAATATAAATGTAAATAAATCTAAATTTAGATAATTATTTTATTTTTAAAATAGCAATTTTGTAAAAGAAAGAGAATTGGAAATTATAGGATATAGATTGATTATTATTGTATGATTTTATTTTTATTGTATGATAATTAATAATATCATCTCATATATAAATATAAAAATATGTATTTTTTTAATCGTATCCTAGCCAAACGTATTCTTCTGTTTGTAGCCAACGTTTAACACGTTCTTGTAAATATAAGTTAATTATTCAGGTAATAAATTGTTTTTCAGTAGTACTTTATTTTTTTTGTAACAAATTATTGTAAAATGTAGTATCGATACAGTAACACGTAGTCGTTGTTATTAGAAAGCTACTCATTTTTTAAATACTTGCTATCATGACACCATGTATTATACACGTTAGGAGATAATTTACATCTTTCTAAACTTCTTTTCACTTTTACATTATAATCAAAAAAAAAATTCTATTATCTCAAAATTAATAAAAAATCTCGAGAAACATCGACGTATATAGTTCACGTAACAGTAGGTTTGCAAGAAACGAAATAACGCAATAAAATTGCAACATTTAATTGAGTTTAGAGGAGTACATCCAGGATGTCTACGTGAAGAAAAATACGCCTATTAACTTGAACATCACCGTCTCGATTAAATTATCGAAGCGGTTGTCAACACCTTCTCCTTTATTCTCTCGTAGATCTTCACGAAGATCGATAATAATAATCGAACACATCCGAGGGAAACTCCGCTCAACTCCGTTAAACGTGGAAAATACCGAGTTTCTTCTACAAAACGTCCATTTGTCCTCTTTGCAGAGCGCAATACCATCTCACCCGTTGAATTTCGCCGGGCTTTCATCTTTCTGTAACGACATTAACGCAATCAACGAGGAATTCGCCGGTATCCCGCAAGTTTCGGCGAAGATTGACGAGCTACCCGCTGGAGCGGAAGTGAAGAACAGATACGCGAACGTGATACCGCTTCCGGAGACAAGGGTGCTCCTTCAAAAAGTCAACAACGATCCTCTTACCGAGTACATCAACGCCAGTTACGTTCGGGTGAGTGAATTTTTGAACAATTGTTTATTGCATTGCGAAGCGATCTGATTGAGTGTCGGTCAATCCTCTGGCTACTTTACGAGGGAATTTTCGTTTTGTTAAAAGATTAACTCTTTGCTCTCGAATGATGACTCGCAGATATCACTTTTTTAATGCGATAACTCGTGGAGGTGACTCTCCATCACCGCTTGGATCGATACGACAATTCAAATTGGGTGAAAATATTTGTTTACGTTTGATTTTTTAAAAATAAAATAGATTTCTAAGCTTTTTGTGTATAATTTTATAAAGCGTAAGAATAATATATGAATTCGAATGATTAGATTTTTTTTATCTCAAATTAGATCGAACTAAATTTTCGATCGATACGACAATTCAAATTGGGTGAAAATATTTATTTACGTTTGATTTTTTAAAAATAGAACAGATTTCTAAGCTTTTTATGTATAATTTTATAAAGCGTAAGAATAATATATGAATTCGAATGGTTAGATTTTTTTTATCTCAAATTAGATCGAACTAAATTTTCGGCGTTAGTCCGAGTTTTATAGTCGTGGGAATAGAAATATTATTTTCAAAGTTTTCGAGTTTTGTGAGCGTGGAACGCGGTAATGAAATTGGTTCGAGCGAAGATGAGTTTAATTTTCTTGTTATTGAGTAATGAAATTATTTCCATTTGTTAAGAAATTGACGACGAGAGAGAAGGAAAATAGTGATGAGAATAGGAATGTAGTAAGAGAAGAAAAATAAGAAGAATAAACAGATTATTTCCATTCGTTAAGAAATTGACCACGAGAGAGAAAGAAAATAGTGATGAGAATAGGGATGTAGTATAAGAAGAATACAGAATGAATGAAAAATAAGAATAATAGACAGTGAATGTGAGAACACGTTATTGGGATTAGTTCAAGATGAGTTTTTCGTTATTAAATAACGAAATTATTTCTATTCATTAAGAAATTGACGATAGAGAGAAGAAAAATAAGAATAGTAAGAGAAGATGAAAAATAAGAATAATAGACAGTGAATGTGAGAACACGTTATTGGGATTAGTTCAAGATGAGCTTTTCGTTATTAAATAACGAAATTATTTTTATTCATTAAGAAATTGATGACGAGAGTCATCATTGAGAGGAATAGTAAGAGAAGATGAAAAATAAGAATAATAGACAGTGAATGTGAGAATACGTTATTGGGGTAGATTAGTTTGTTATTAAGTAACGAAATTATTTTTATTCATTAAGAAATTGACGATAGAGAGAAGAAAAATAGGAATAGTAAGAGAAGATGAAAAATAAGAACAATAGACAGTGAATGTAAGAACACGTTATTGGGATTAGTTCAAGATGAGCTTTTCGTTATTAAATAACGAAATTATTTTTATTCATTAAGAAATTGATGACGAGAGAGAAGGAAAATAGTGATGAGAATAGGGATGTAGTAAGAAAAGATAAAAAATAAGAATAATAAATAGTGAATGTGAGAGCACGTTATTGAAATTGTAAGGTTTGCTCTTGATAAAATAAGAAAAGTGAAAAACATCAAGCGACATTTTATCTTGGCAATTACGTTATTATTAAAATATCACCCAAAACAACGATATAGACTTTAATATTCAACAAATTTTCTTTCTTTATATGTAAAGATACGTAAAATATTAGAATATAAAAGTTTTATATATTAATTTGTGTATAAAATCATTTTAAATTAGCTAAGAAACATTCACAACGGGTGAATCGAGAAAATCATCTAGAATTGTTGTCTCGAACGTTTGATCGAGCAAAAACGTCCTGGAGTGCAAAGGGTTAAACGTTGGAAGAGGTTTATTCGCGTTACAAGGCGATATTTCTAATCTCTGATTAAGAAAATTGCAGAAGATGTCTCATTTGTTTTCTAACGATGTGACTCAACTCTCGTAATTGTGTGTTCTATTCTTTGCCCCATTTTACGATTTTCTTGTCATCGTCCTCCCTATTTTCACTATTCGTTTTTTCTCTTAAGAAATTTAACGCTTTTAATCTCGGAAAATCGGTTTGATAAAGCGGCGAGGTCGGCGCATCCCGAGCGATTTAATAAAGCACGCGCGTGTAAAGTTTTACGCGCGGTATTTTGCCTGCGTGAGAAAAGGACGTTGCATAATGCATTGCGAAGAATGACTGTTGCATAAGCTCGAGGCAATATGCGGAAGCGGGGCGGACGTTAACACCTGTTTCCATCGAGCTATTAAAGGATTTAAATAATGCAGTGTGCACCGATAGAAACAACGATCGATCGTCGGAACAATTCATTTTTATCGTAATATCAATGTTGCCGTGAAATTGAATTATATTAGAATTATAATTATAATTTAACAACAACAACAGCCTCGACATCTTTACGTACGTCCATCTTCCTTCAATCTACGGATTGGAGATTTTTTTTTTTAATTCTCCTTTTCCTTTATTTATCGCAAGTTATTCGAATATTAAAAAGGAGAGGATGATCGAAGAGAAAAAGTTTTAAGAAACAACGTGTTAGAATTGGTTCGAGGAAGGAATGTAAATTGATTTAAATTCAATTTTAATAGTTCGATTTTGCGCGTTTAATTGCGCGTCGAACGTTCACAAAGGGCAACGTTCTCTAGGACTCGTAATTAGCACCGTTCCTCGCTGATCGATATTATCGATTGATATCGTATCCTATGCACAATGCAATTATTGAATATGTTAATTGATTCTAACTGTAATCGATCGGCTCGAAATACGGGAGCTCTGTCTCGTCAACTAATTTTAATTCGTCGAGGATTAGAATTTCATTGATCAAATTTGTTTTAAACGTTGAAAATCGTTAATTCTCTTTACACTACCATTCTTTGAGAAAGTTAATTTTTCTCCAATCGTTTAATAAATTGATTTTCAGGGACCAAAGAACGCGACAAAATATTATATCGCTTGCCAAGCACCAATGGAGTCGACTGTCACCGACTTTTGGAGGATGATATGGGAACAACAGAGCAAAGTGATTATCATGCTTACCGATCTCGTTGAAAATGGGGTGGAAAAGTGTACAGAGTACATTCCGCCCTCGGAAATCACGGATTGCCGACGGTTATACGGCGATTTTCAAGTTACTCTGAAGAAGAGGGAAACCAAAGAAAAATATGCCATTTCCACGCTTCATTTGAACGTAAGCGATAACGCACAATAGAAACCTTTTTTAGAAAAAATTACTATATTACTCTGTGACAAAAGTATATATGTCGATAGTGCCCGAATGATAAAAACATTTATGACACCGACAATTTTATCCAATAATAAAATTAGTTTCAATTTGAAACACGCATTAAATCCACGCATCGCCAATTTCTCTTCGATCCTAACGCTCTTGTTATAACACTCCTCTCTCTTCCCTGCTTTAAAACCCAGTTACGCTATAACTCACTTTAACTCACGTTAAATCACTTCTTCGCTCAACTATCCTAACACGATGTAGCCTCATCAACCGGTAGAGCCCAGCCGTCATTATCGCGCAATCGACCATTTAAAGAACCAGTCGCGTCACTGGAACCAAACGCGACCGATAAAAATTTCAATTATAGATAATTATGATCGATGCAACGATGTTAACACGAATTGAATTCGAATTCTTTACACAATTATTTTCAACGAGTCCAGAATTAAAAGAAGTAGAAAATAATAATAAGTATTCGAATCATAGATCGAATCTTTCGAATTCGATTTAAATATTAATTGATAACCGATCGAAACGATGATTATTTACAGAATTTGGAGAAGAACACGTTCCGAGAGGTATACCACATTTGGTATTTGTGGCCCGTGAACGGAGTGCAATCGGACGGTGCCGGGTTGATAGCCGTGCTACTCGAGGCGAGGGCACTTCAAAGGGGTGGCCCTGGACCCATTGTAGTCCACTGTAGTCCCGGCACTGGACGCACGGGAACGTTAATAGCTCTTGACCTAGGAATTAGACAATATGAGATTACGAGGACTGTGGACGTGCCAAGGGTCGTTTACACTATCAGACGGGATCGTGCTGGGGCTGTCAAGACGAAAGAACAATACGCTTTCATTTACAAGGTAATTTACTTTTTAACTTGCCCTGCCGTTTCCTTTCGAATCGTTGATTTCATTTATTCGTTTCGATTGGTGCATTGTGCATTCGGTTTGAGAGAATGGAGCCGCGAGAGTGCGTGATTCTGCGTGATTTATCGAACGAGCAATAGGAATGGAAGGATTTTTCCTTATTTAAGTTATCTAATCATTATATATATATATTTGTATCTTTTGTTTTTTTTTTAAATTATCCAGGAAAAGTGTGAAATATTTATATTTATAAAGATATTGAACGAAAATTTCTCATTTTCTTTTCTTCTTTTTTTTTTTTTTTCAGGCATTAAATTTATACGCGACCAAACTTGCCGGCGGTGTATTGGAATCTACGTGAACCACTCGAGAAGAAATTACCATTCGTTCGAATCGTAATAGAGATGTAAGTCATGGCAGAGAACTGCTATATCCGTGAACGATAAATATCATTGAAGACGATGCAAAAACCGCGAGATTATAAGAATGAATGAAGTTCCAGTTTTACCTGGATAGGAAGATATGATAAATTGAACGAAGGAAATTGACTTGTGATACGTGGACCATAGCGAAGATCGTGTTTCGCTTTAGATTTTTGCTTAGTCCTTTCGACGTAAGACTATTTCACCCTAGTAAATTTAAAAAAACACTCTTTACCATCTGTTTGTCTATTCTTCTCGGTTGATAATACAGTATTTTTTTTTTTTTTTTAAGTATCGTCGTTGAATAAAATAAAATTTTCTAAAATTTTTTTGTAAAATAATATTTATCATAATTTATGTAATAGGACAATTTATACAAGTGATATTTATAATTAAGGTTTAAAAGAAAAAAAATTTTAAAATTATAAATAATACGAAATTATAAAATAGTAAAATAACATATGAAACAATATGAAACAATAATTCAAATTGAAACAATATGAAATTCTGAAAATAACAATTTATACAATTTTGTACTTTAATAATTATACATATTTATTAATTTATCTGCAAAAATTAGTGGTAAAATATACTAAAATTAGTAAATCGATTCAAGTTCAAATTAAAGTATCATACGAGCCAAAAATACAAACTGAGCGTTAAATATGTATTTAAAAGAGCAAATATTAAAACGATTACTTTATTCTAAATATTTTAATTGAGAGAGAAAGACAAATAAGATGGTAACATGTTGGATAATGAATAATTGAGAGGCGGGAATTAATTTGTGATATCCGGACCATCCGATATATTCAACTTTGTATTTCTTAGGCCTATTCGATTTCATAAAACTTTTTTTTTATCATAAATTTCGTCTCCTTTTTGTCAATTTTAATATATATATATATATATGAAAGAATAATTAGATGTAGTTGAATATTTAAAAATAAGATTATGAATATGTCAGTCATGTGCGAAAGGATTTATTCTTTTCAACCAAACAAGTATATAGCGACAATGAACAATTTGAACGGGCAAAACGAACCGTGATGCTTTGTAAAAGAAAAAGAGAAACAAAAATGAAAAAAAAAAAAAAACAAAATAGTAACATTCCTTCGAGAATTCACCTACGTGTATTTAGCGTCGTTTTTAATCATGTAAAAAGGAATAATATACAACGTATGTATTAATTATTAATTTAGAATTACAATTATTTACAAATGTTACATCTCTAAGGTTCTAGAAAGATTTCAAGATCGATTTCATCTCTCTTTCTCTTTTCTTCTCCCGGACAATTTATAGATACATATTATATATAATATATATATACATTATTGTATTATTGTTATTATTGTTATTGTTGTTGTTGTCATTGTACAAATATTTTGATTCGTAGCAGGTTGCTCTCTATAATTGTACATAGAAACCAACCGGAAAATACACCGAATAAATTAGTTGTATTTTGTTAGATTTTCGTTAAGAAGTTCGTATTTTTTTTTTTTTTTTTTTTTTTTTTGAAACGTGTCATTTAATTCTCGTCGAATACGTGCTCGTTGCCAGCCGCCATTTTTCTCACTTTCTTACGGCTTCGAACACGTTTGAGGAATGCATTAGAATTATCCCATAAATTTTGTCGGTTTCGCTGAATGCCGTTGTTCCTGTGAAATGTCAAGCATTTTTTTTGTTTTATCGCTTGAAAACAATCACGGACGATGCGACGAACATAAACGATCGGTTTAATGATTCATCGTCAATTTAGACCGGTTATTTCTGACCGAGGAGATTTCTTCGTGAGCTGAGAAATGGATTCTTTCCGTCGAGAATTAATTTTTGCGCGAAACAAGTTTTGTGATTGAGTTTTTGCTCGATATTTGATAAAACGAAAAAACGATTTTTTTTTTATTTTCCGTATTAAATCATTGTACGAATAATGTACGCGTATGTGATTAATTTCTGTCTTTTGTTAAAAGTAAATATTTTGTCTTTTATCTCCTATATAATAATTCCAATTGATTTTATATATGGACTAATATGATTAATAGACTAATATGTTTTTTTAATTTTGATTTTAAACTTGATCTTAAAAAAAAAAAAATAGACAAAATATTTATTTTGCGTGAATAATTGCAGAGAACTGACGTATAATTATATTATGTGCCTAAAATTTTAATTGTACATAACTTAAAAATTAAATTAATTGTCCGTTTATGTTTTAAAATTTTTATCTTCAAATTTGAATTAAAAAAAAAGTATATTTTTTTATGTTTATTTATCACTTGTCTAAATATGAAAATTAATAAAAAAAAACAATTTTAAAATCAAATTACAGAAAAATCAAAATATATGTACGTTTTTACAAATTTCAATTAACCTTAAAACAATTATTGATTAAAATACAAAATATATAACGTGTTTAAAGACACAATTTAAAAATAAAAAAAAGATATGTAATAATTATAAATCGACAAAATTTGTGGAATAATACAGTCAATGTGTTTTTATAACACGTTATGAAATTTAGAATTTAGACGCATTCCCTTATAAAACTAAAATTATCCCTTATAAATCGAAATCGAACGATTTGATTCTACGAAATGTGATGAATAGAAGGAACATTCGACCACGTATAAAAACGAAAAATAAAACCAGGAATACAGGGTCAATTCGTAGTTTCTATCGAACCCGTTATTTAGACACTATATAGTAGTATCGATTAATTAACATTTTTATAGTATTGTAATTTGATAATTATATTATAGTTGAAAAAAAATATGAAGAAACTCGTGATACTCGATTTTTTTAAAATATCGTCGAACAAAGACGATAGAAATATTTCAGATCGTAAAAAATTTAATACGCTTCAATAAGAACACGAACATCGAACATTTATCGCGATCGAAATTAAATGACAATGACAATTTACACGTGTAAGAGTACACAATTATTCTCACCAATATTTTATACAGTTTCGTGCAAAACCCATTATTGGATCTAATTGAATTTTAATCAAAATAATATAATATTTTGAATCTTTTATTTTAATATTGTTATTTGTGAAATATGAACGATATACGCTCGACATTAAAATTAAAAGGATTACTATTTAGTGATCAAAAAATTTCAACTGTTGTAATTTCGAAAAGAATCGTATATAATAATCAATCTGGACTCGATTTAAACAACAAAACTTTTATCTTTATTTTATTTATACTTGAATTGTATTATTATAGCATATTTTTTCCTAAAATCACGATAGTATTCGAATATCGACAATTTTTCGATCAAAATTTAGTCATTCTTCAATTTTAGCGTTGAGTATAAACTTGATAATGTAATTTCAAACAAAGAAATATCTCAAATTTATGAATATTCTAAAATAACATTATCGGAAATAATAATTTAAAATGTCATTTAATAATGTGAAATAAAATAGCATATTATTTCATAAATAATATTTCATCAATATTTGAGAAAATATATGGATTTGAGAAAAACATATTCGATGCGTCGCTTCTTCGAAACAAAAATTTTTTCGTTACTACGTAATCATCTATTCCAACTTTTTCATTCGAATATAGTGAGAGATTGTTGCACGATATTGTAAATCACAATAATGCATAAACATTTGCCATAAAATAAAGAATTAGATACATTCAGAGTAATTACATTAGAAATCTTTATAAAGATTTAGAAGTTTACAGATTAAAAATTGTATCTAGAGTAAAAAGAGAAAAAAAAATTGACAAAGAGATAGGAATATAAGCGTAATGATCTCATTTGCTGACGAAGCAATGGAACGAAACGTGAATTCTCGGAAAATTCTTCGGGGTGAGTGAAGGACAAACTTCGTGCGACGCCATTGTTAATTAAGAAAATGGTTTTGCTTTATTACCGAGAATAAAATCTATTTCCAGCATAAACAATGCGACGTAAGCGTTGGAAAATCATATGTCCCTGTTTCCTGAATAGTATTATTAATAATGGAAGAATATGTATCTCGTAATTGAAATATGTTAGGATTTTTGTCTTACTTAACGATATAATCGCTAATTATTAATTCGCAATCATTGTGACCATATATAAGATTCTGTGTGTGTGTGATATCGTTCTATCCAATATCGAACGTGGAAAAAAATTCGGAAAAATTATGATTAAAACCAGTGTTAATAAAGCCAAATAAATCTTATTTAACTATATTAATCGTTAGAGGATCAGATTTCGTATTGAGTTGTTCTTTCAATGCTGTCCATTCCTTTTTTCAATGTAATCATTCAATTTCGTTAGTATTTTTAATGAACGAATTGAAAATTCCTTTTTTTTTTTTCAATCTTTATTAATTTCTCATCAAATCTTGATTGTCCGATCTATCTGATTAAAAGCATAAAATCTTAAAAAAGGACACATTTTACAGAACAACTCTGTGCGTATAACAATCGTACCAAAAAGGAAAATTAATGTTTAATTATATATAAATGTTCTAATAAAAATATTATAAGAGGAATGTGTATGTTTAAAAAAAGTTAGAAGATTTCCCTTCGTAACGAATCCTTCGAGAATGAACGTGTAGAATTATAAAAAAAATCAGGAAGAAACGAATGTATCAATGTGTATGCCTATCGACGTATGTTATAAAACCATGTGTAATTATACGATAGAGATTGAAAATTGATGAATAAAACATGATAATGGTGTTCAATCGTATAGTTATTGCAACAATTACATCAAATGCATTTAGTAGCTGGATCAAAAAAAAAAATGTAATTATTCTATTCTATGTGTTTTTGTTTTTTCAATATTTTTGGTTTCATATAAAACAAATACATACTTTTTTTCATGTAAAATATAAATATTTACTAATTTACTATATACACTAACTTATTACTTCAAATAATTTGTTTAAAAAATTTCATATACAAAAATTTTAACAAAATTATATATAATTAATACACAAAAAATACACGAACTAATTTAGTAATAGAAGGTGCATCGTATCGAATTCGATCAGTTACATTACTCAAAATTTCTATCGTAAATGATAGATTTAGAAATTGTAATTGAGACTTCATCAATCTCGATACAACACAATTTCTTTTCTTAAAATTATTTCTATTTGTTACTTAACTTATTCTATGATACATATTATTATATTACATCTTGAAAATACGACTTACTAACGAGAATCGATACAACTTATGCTATTACTGTGTACAAACTCGAATGGTAACGTATTTGCCATCCGAAGTTACAATCAATTAAATTTAAAATTTAAATTTAAATTTAAAAAGATTCTTTTATCTTTTGTTGCCTTGCTGCAATTTGGAAAAATGAGAATGGAACACATCATAAGACTAATGTTCCTATTCATC